GGGTACATTGGGTACGTTCTTGGATACGTACCGCATCTTAGTAACCAGGTTCTATTCGTTACAGAGCAAGCCGCCAGCGCCAGTGCACGCGAAATCTTTCGGTAATTTCCAACGGCCCTGCCTTGCATCGGAATAGCCTTCTGCAACACCTGCAATTCGGACGATGCTGTCAAAACTGCACACGTGTGACATTATCGACCAAACTTTGTATGGAATACCGCCGTCATTCAGTCGCCATGCAGCCGCCATGCTATGCCGACTGTTGGAAAGTCACATGGGCATGACAGGCCGTTACTACCCGGACGGCGACTCTCCACCACCATCATACCGACGCCTTGACCCAAACTTCAATCTCACGATGGCACGCATTACCCCACAAACTGCTTCTTAACCTCTTCCAGAGATGGTTTCCGCTCGCGCATCTCCGGTGTCAAGTATCGCGATGCCATCGTGACCGATGACGCCGCCGAAGCCGCCGTTCGCCTTCTGCAGTTTTCTGGTACATAGATACTTTGGTACCCTAACATACCGGCAGACAGCTGCTCGTCGGGTACATCGCCCTCAGCTACCTTGGGCCGCCACGATGGTTACCTCGCACCCACTACCGAGTGTCTAAAAAACTACAACTGTCACAAGGCCTCCGACGATCACGCTCGTTGATCTACGTCCGACCGTCGGACGCGCCGGGAAAGGCATCGTGCAGAACTCCCCCGCATCGGCCAAGCTTTTCGCGATCGCGCGCCGTTGCACGTTATACCCGGAAAATACGACTTTTAGTCAAGTCATTACTTAGGCCAGCTGCATATGCGTCCGGTAAGCTGGGAGGCGAATCTCGTGATACACAAAAGAGGAAGTTGGCAATGTGCGGTGAAGAGCAGGTATGCGATGACGTCTATGCCCTTGCTGCTTGGGAGCTGGTTCATACTGCTGCTGTTCTATGAAAGGGCCAGAACACTGTGTTGTGCATGTCGGAAATTAAGGTAAGGGAGGAACTTGCTTTACGAAATGATGTTACTTTTAGCCAGCCATCACGGCTGAGGTACACGCCTTCAGGTACCACAAAATCGCTGCATAAGGCAAAGATCACTGCAAGCGGGAGGGAGGTGACATCGATGATGACTCAGATAATGCCATCATACCTACATGCCATGTTGGAAGTACTCCTCCGGCCTCGTGGGCCTTTTGCCCGGTAACAGCGTGTTTTGCATGTGGATGTGTTGCCGATCGCGGGACCATGGAGAAGGTCTCTTTCAACCTTCCCCGCGCAACACTGCCGTTTGCAGATCTGCCTGCATTCCTGAGCCGCCCTGCGTGAAGAACGCACGACATCAGATGCTCAGTGCGTACCAAAGAACAGCATGTGAAACTACAAGGAAGTGTTCCGAACAACGGTTACACGGACCTCCGCGCATTCCCATGTCGTCAACCAGGTTCTTTGCAAGCCGATGTTGGCAGACGCCAGCACACAACCCAAGAGCCCACCGTCCACGTTCCGGTGTATCACCACACTCCTCGGATGCGCTTCCAAGCTTCTCGAAAGATCGTCCCCGGCGCGTGAGCACCGCCTCGGAAGCTAAGTGGCTGTGACACGCCGATCCCCACATCATCGCCATCAAACAGTCCTCCAATCAATACACTGTACCTGAATGCTCCATACAATTTCCGCCAAGCACCAACCCTGCATCTGACCTTTGACCCGGCCGACCCCAGATCTTTTTCTTCATGCTAATACGTGCCGAGGCCTTCAGGGTCCATTTTACCGTAGCTTGCTTGCGGATCTAGTCTTGATGGTGGTTAGGCAAGCGGCTTGGGGTAGCTTCTGCTTGCTTCCCCTATTGGAGCTGTTGCGTCACTACGTCAGTTGCCAGCAATGCCCAAGTATCCCGAGTAAGTAACGATGTACACACCGTCCCGATGTAGCGGAGTCGTGAGATGTCGGCGATACTGCGGTTGGTTGCCTTGGGAGGCCTTCCCAGACACCGCCTTGGTGGTGTCCAGGATAGCTCTTCCAGCTAGCTAGGATGAAGCTCCGTGTTGTGGAGATCATCGCTACGTCGTGAAGCAACGAACACATGCTTGTTTGGTGAGCATGACTGGGAAGAAAATTGGGGCAACTTTGTTGCTGTGTTGGCGGCTTGTGAGCCTTTGTGCTGGGAAGTTAAAGGGAGATCCTTCCCCCGATGCCATGGGTCTGCACAAGTCCTACCTTGGATCTACCAGTCTAACAAACTTCTTGTACTCTTCTCGAGTACAACTGCATGTTCTACAACCTTCAGTTAGTTGAGTAACATTCTTCATCTTCATCATGGTCGGATCCTGGACTACCGCGGCGGCCGTTGGCCTGCTTGCCCTCACAAACGCGTCTCCACTACAAAAACGCGCACCCATGTTCGACTACAACAACCAAAAGGTTCGCGGTGTCAACACTGGCGGATGGTTCGTCCTCGAGCCCTGGATTACTCCTAGCATGTTCGAGGGCAACAGCGCAAAGGACGAGTACACACTCGTGGCAGCTATTGGCAAGGACCAGGCACAGTCAAAACTGCAAAACCACTGGAACTCTTGGATCACCCAAGACGACTTCAACCAGATGGCAGCTGCTGGTCTGAACCACGTTCGAATCCCAATCGGTTACTGGAGTGTTCTTCCACGTGAAGGCGACCCATACCTACAAGGCGCTTACGAGAAGCTCGGAGAGGCGCTCGACTGGGCGTCTGGTGCTGGCCTGAAGGTCATGATCGATCTCCACGGCGCACCCGAATCTCAAAACGGTTTCGATAACTCTGGCAAGTACGGCTCTGTCGGCTGGACTCAGGGCGATTCAGTGGCCTACACCATCAAAGTCCTTAACAAGATCCGCGATGATCACGCGTCGCATCCCGCCGTCTCAGCTATCGAGCTTCTCAACGAGCCTCTGGGTCCCAACCTTGACATGAACACCGTCAGGCAGTTCTACATGGACGGCTGGGGTAACCTCAAGGACTCCAACGTCGCAATCACCTTCCACGATGCATTCCAGGGTGTAACCTCGTGGGGCAACTGGGGCGCGGGCATGTGGAACCTTCTTCTCGACACTCACCACTACGAGATCTTTGACCCCTCTGCTGTTGCCATGAGCATCGACGACCACGTCAAGACAGCTTGCGATTTCGGTAACCAGATGGCATCTACTGGAAAGTGGACTGTAGCTGGCGAGTGGACTGGCGGAATTACCGATTGCGCCAAGTGGTTGAACGGAAAGGACAAGGGCGCGCGCTACGACGGTACCTTTAGCGGCAGTTCAAAGGTCGGTGACTGCACTGGCAAGTATACTGGCAGTGTTGCGAACCTGTCAAGCGCCGACAAGTACAACATTGGACGCTTCATCGAGGCGCAGTTGGATGCCTACGAGAAGGCCACAGGCTGGATCTTCTGGACATGGAAGACCGAGGGCGCACCCGAATGGGATATGCAAGATTTGCTGGCCAACGGTATCTTCCCCCAGCCGCTAACGGCACGAAAGTGTAAGTATTCCTTGTGGTGTTGCATGAGCATGAAGCTGACAACCTCTAGACCCCGGCCAGTGTGGCTAAGTACCTCGCTGTTCATGCGACGTCTACTTGGCGCCTTCCTACTCTTTCTTCTTCCACCACACACTCGCTCCGTCTCGACACCCATACTATACACCCGGCCAGTAACGATGTAACGAATTTCATACCGCTTCGAAGATACCCCGACGCGTTCGCTCGCTAAACGGGACCCCCGTCATAGGGCTGTCCCTACTTGTATTGTCTGACACGACATATAGCTGTCACTGAGTCACACTACCCGCTCGCACCGTAGCTTGAGCTGCAAAGTATGAAGTCATGGTCGAGGCAGGGGCGCAGCCGGCGCAAACGTATATATGAGACGAGAAACAAACTGTATATTCAACAATGCAATGAAGTAATTGAAACAAACGCAAATTATCGTGACACACGTGAGCCGTGAAGAAGATTAGTTTTGCTGGGTGCTGCTGGGGTTGAGGCGGTAATTTTGCGGGCAGGCGGCCTTGTTCGCGCCTGCCGCGCCGGTCAAACTACAATCTCACCCGCACCTGCCTGGTCAAGTCTGGGAAAGGAAAATTGCGTGATGACGGCCGTAGTGCAGCCTCGCTTAGAGCAAGACTGACGATGCATCGCAACAGGTGCGACAAGTGGCCAAACTCTCCTTTCCATTGCCTGGTTGAGCAACTGGCGGCGCGCGCTCTAGGCGGCAGCCTGCGCGCCAGTACCTGAAGCTAGAGCGCATGCGACTCAGGCACAAGCAAGCAGATCGCGTTCCACGGGCTACGTGAATCCGGAGAACCCTCGCTCGCGCATCGCGACACACGAGTCGTACAATTCGTCGCAGACGTCCAAATCAGAAATGAGATGCGACTGCTATCTCGTCGGCGCAGCGCTGTCGGCCCTTCGTGCCTGTGCCTATGTAAGCGCCGATATTGCTCACCGTTCGACGGCTGACAGGAACAACGCTCCTGACTCCTCAGGCATCCACTGCCCGCCAGAAGCAATCTCCAACAACCCAGAAATAGCCCGTGCCATGGTCCAACAAGCTCACCGGTAAAGCCACCAAAGACTCCTGAGCACGCCGCAACCCACAAGAATACGAGGTGTCTAAATCTCTTGTCGCATTGTCATTCGTCACGCTCCTCCAAGCGCTGTCCATTCAGCCTAGCGCTAGTTCCAAGGGATATTGCACGGGACTGGAACACCAATCTTAAGTTGCGCCGGCAACAGGGGTACCTGCATTGACCGTTTGTAGAACGCGAAATCGATATAGTTCGAGTGCCTCCCCTCAGCTTGTCTTGTTTCTTCCTACTGCTCACCTCGCCTAAGATATCTTGCAGCCCTCAGAAGACTTTTGTTCTTCAGCCCTTCTTTTCAGAAAACCAGTCACTCATTACTTGCCGTCTTCCAACTACATAATACTCTCGATCTTCTTCGGATAATCACCTAATACCACACACACCAACCTTCAAAATGTACTCCAAGACCGCCATCATCACCTTCTTCGCCGGCTTTGCCGCTGCCCAGATCCACGCTCCCGTTGGCGAGCCCGCTGGTAACCCCATCACCCGTCCTTTGAACGAGGTATGTTTGCATCATCCCTGAGTTTGCGCGCGCGCGCCTCGCGAAACTCAAAACAAGATCCGCAGAGCTAACGCGCCCCACCAGGTTGTCCCCACCTGCGAGCAGTTCACCATCACCTGGCAGCCAACTACCCCCAACACTGTCTCTGTTCTCCTCCTCAAGGGACCCTCCACCAACGTCGTCAAGTTCGGTCCTTCTCTCGCTGAGGGAATCGCCAACAGCGGTAGCCTCGCCTGGACCCCTGCCTCCACTCTCGAGGCCACCAACGGCCCCAACGGATACGGCATCCAGATCATTGACGATGTCACCGGCCAGTACCAGTACTCCACCCAGTTCGGTATCTCCAAGGGCAACTGCGAGGAGGCCGTCTCCAGCTCCATGATCGAGCCCAGCAGCGCCGCTGTCGCTAGCTCCACCCCTGCCGCCAGCAGCGCCTACGCTCCCGGCTACGGTGCCTCAACCCCCCTTGCTAGCCACACCCCCATCCCTCTCCCATCTGCTGTCCACTCCAGCGAGGCTCCTTACCCCACCACCGTCATGACCTCTGCTATGGTCCCTGCCTACAGCACTGGTGTCTCTGCCAACGGCACCGTCCCCATGCCCACTGCTGGCGGTAACGCTACCACCAGCCGTCTCCCTGAGGCTACCACCAACGCCGCCTCTGGCGTCCAGGCTGCGCTCGGCTTTGCCGGTGCCGCCGCCGCTTTCGCTTTCATGCTATAAGCGCATTTTCCCGGTCTCCCCTGGATTATGTTACTATGTCATGACTAGCTTTGCGTTTCCTTCCCTTCTCCGATGATACTCCTGGTGTTTATTCATAGGGTATACCACCGTCTTGTTTGGTTCGAATTTTGTGTGTCGTGGTCGGCGGTTGTATCTAAAGTGGAATGAGAGTGTGTTGCATAGATGATGGCGCTGTTTTGTGCTATACCCAAAAGGTCTTGATTGTGATGCGTAATGGAACCCATTATACCCCTTAGCCTTTGACATTCTTCTATGGTGAAGTTTTGACGCCCGCTGTCTATATCAACCATTGACTATGACATAACGGCTCTTCGAGTAAGACTATGCGTCTTTCATAGCATTCTGTTCTTCATGCCGAAACAGTCATCAACACTCGGACAAATTAATATATCTCGCATACTGGAACTGGCAGGAGACATAGATGGGTTACATTGAAAGCGAGATCCACGAGTGGAGTAATGTTCCGGCGCTGATGACACTCTAGATTGCAATTCGACGTTCTCGACCGATTGACAGTTCTCTCCTTAATTTGTCTATGCGTCAAAGCCGCCTGCACCGCTTCCTTAGATGGTCGCGTATGTATCATGGGCACATCGTGCCCTGAGGGAACCGCATCGGGACTTCACCCGTGCTCTAGATTTGCTGCACCAGCGGAATAGCGGGAGGCCCCATTATACGCCACGACAAAGAGCAGTTGGTGTATGACCATCAGACCTACCGTCTTCAGTGCTGGAGTACAAGAATACATCCTCGGGATATCTATACAAATGCATAGCAGTAGTGCTATGAATGTCAGCCTTCCTCGCGTCGCTTCCGGCTTGCGCGATTACTAGAGCTGCAATGCAGGTACGCGGCGTGGTCCGCAATTGACTGGTCGCCTTACGCCCTCCTGGAAACCTAAGTTGGGGACCAATTGAATCGTAAGCTTATGCTCGACAAGCAACGCGCCTTGCCATGTATGGGAGACGGACTATGAGATGCACGATGTTGTGGAGCGAGATTGAGCCAGCGCAAAGACCGTGTCAACATTGGCAGCTCCTTTGAGAACAAATGGCCTCCTAATAAGACATGCGTCAATCGCCTTGATGTTGGCAGTCATCACTTTCATCCAGATCTTTGTTGATTCTACCTACATCAGAAATCAATCATCATGAGACTCCAAGCTTCCATTCTCCTGTGCGCGCTAGCATCCGCCGCCAGCGCATATCTTGTCGAGCCCCCAACGCCTGCGGCAGCAGACACTGTCCCGAATTGCAGCGCATGGCAGATAGCTGAACCCGGGATGTCATCTTGCAACAATATTGCCAGCAGACATGGCTTGCCCATCTACCAGGTCGGTCCATGGGTAAGTTTCAAGAGTAAGCGGCGTCAAAGACATTGCATCGACTGACCATTACTAGAACCCGTCGTGTAAGAACTCGGACGCCTTTGTTGTTGGAAACTCTTATTGCATCGAGGTCAACGGCAAGGAATGTTACGAAATCGGCGAGGGTGCCTGTCAAGGAGACGATCAGTGACGGGCGACTGCAAGCATTTCTACGTGATGCAGTCTGGAGACGGATACCAAGTCGCTAGGCATGCTGGAGATACTTCAAGCCAGACTTCACAACCCCGTTGCAAGAAAAGCCAAAGAAAATGATATTCTCAGAGTCCCTGGATTGCTCCCTTGTCCCAATCTAGCTGCTTATGTATCGAAGTCGCTCAACCGCCCAATTGCTCGCAGGAGGCACCTTCATATTCAGCCCGATGCCAAAGACCCAAACGCCGAGACGGAAAGGAAAAAAAGGGTCATGGGTATAATATAATCATAGAAACATAATCACGCCATTCATCCATCCATAATGTCCATCCCCCCCCTCTCTTTCCTATTCACACGCACGTCACATAACCACACACCCAATCTTCTTCCTCCCTTTCCCCTTCTTTTCTTTCTCTCCAACCAACACACCATCATGATCCACCCTTGAGCCTCTTCGCCCACTGATCAAGTTGCCCACACTCTGGCTCGCCCTATGCATTCCATAAGGATGATTGTGCACCTGGTCTGTCCTTGGCGGCGCACTAACAGGGAACCTCTGCCCGGCGACAAATTGCTGGCCCGGGGGCGCAAGAGGCGGTAACGCAGGTGCGTTTCTCGGTTGCTGATTCGCAGCTATCGATGCCATCGGTGCAGTCTGATACGGCTGCATGCTCATCCTCGGACTAGTCGGTGGTAAGGGTCGGCGCTGGACAGCTACATTAGGCGCTGAGCCGCGGCGCATGTTAGGCGGCAAGCTGGGGACAGGCGGTGGAGCGTAGAGGTCGAGATTGTCGTGTGCAACGCGTTGAGTGGTACTACCGTTCGTGGGACGGCGGGTAGGCATGTGGGAGGAGGTGTTGGGGTATGCGGATGCGGACATAGATGTACGTGGGGTGTGTGACAACGGGGTGTAGGACATTTGTTCTGGTGGCGAGCGGGTGCTCGACCTTCGCCGCCGGATTGAGTCCGAGGATTGGGGGCTGGGGTACGTAGAGGGGTGGATGAGAGAGGGACGGCGAGTTGGCTCCGGGGGTGGTGGCGAGGATACATCGATAGAGGATATTGATTGCTGACGTTGCTGGTAGGGATGTGAGGGAGAGAGCTGGGAGGGGTCGATAGTCGCGGACATGTTGGTTGGTAATCGGGGGACGGGCGGTATCGAAGACGAAGTATGTGCGTGAGGTAGTCGCGGCACTGGAGGCGCGTCCGGATGGCTCAAGCTAACACTTTCTGCTGCTGCGGCAGTGGTTGTGTACGCTGGTGGAGGCGGCACCCAGTTATCTGCATCACTCTCATGTGGTAGTTCTCGATGGCCGTCTGCACGACGGTATTCCAAGGGTCTGAAAGGTAGTGCGCGCAAATGCCGACGATTTGCGGGTGACACCGCTGCCACAGTCGCAGCTCTAGCCAAAGACATCTGAGATCGAGGTTGCTGGTTGTCATAGGGAGCTTCAAACATTGCTTGTGCCTCTTCCGGTGTCAACTCCTCAGACTCATCAGAGGGTAATCGGGGCCGTGGCGCGTTTGGGTTGGCGGTAGTACGTGATCGTTGTACAGGTGTAGTGCCAATCCTCGAAGGCCTTCGCGCAACAGTGTCGTTTCGATCCTGAGCTCTTCGCTGCGCCATGGTCCTGGTTCGCACCAGTTCAACCTCCCGATCAAAGTCTATAGAGCCTTCGGGAAGCATCTCGCCTGGACAAAGGGGATCCAAGTCGTACTCTGTCTTTAACGGCGTCGGTGGAGCGCTTCCCAAAGGTTTCGTCTTGTCGAAATCAAGGACTATCAAAACACCTTTCGAGCCCAACGGTGCCCCGGGTACATCGTTTTCGTCGGGTAGGACGTTGGAGTTGCCAACTGCCACAAGCCGCTGTACGTTTGCATTCAGCCTCACCCATCTCAGCACACAGATCTCCTGCAGAGTACCTGCGTTGTCATTGGGGATCGGGATGCAAAAGCAAGGCTGAATAGGAGCATCCACCTTAGTCTTCTCACTCGGCTTGTACTCCCAACCCGGTACTTCGTAAATCCAGATATTGGTGGTCCCGCGCATCCGCAAAGCCACCGCTGCAAGATCAGCATTAGGAGACACGGCAGGCATAGCATCGTCCACAAACTCTGAGCGCGTCCATCTTGCGTGATCTGGCAGAAACATCTTCCTCTGTGTGAACCGTTGGCATGCAATGTCATAGATTCCCCATGAATCCTCCTCTGCGTTGAAAGCAAAGAGTTCGTTGAACGTGCCCGTGTCGGCGTCAGGAAGCAAAGTGGCTTGTCGTGCAATTCTCGCAGTCTCCGGAAACAGAACCGAGCCCGTCCACGCAGCCTCTGGTGGCTGTGGTATGGGCTCACCCTCCTCGGTAAGTGGGCCATCATAAAGCCCAGGAAGAACGAAAAGGGCTGAACCATCCGACTTCCTTGCATAACCCGTGATAAGCAGCGTTCGGCCATCGTCGGAGAACTCCAATGCGTCACCGGCGGGCCCAGAAAGCGTACGTCGTGTCGTCTCGGGTACCTCAGGCCCAATAGCGATTACCTCGATGCCAAATTTGTTTCCCGTGATCAGGATACGTGCATCTGGTGATATGACTATTGAGCTAGCCTCATGCACGAGCATGATGGTGCGCCTCTTCTTGATCTGATTATCCCCCTCGCCATGTATTTCGTAAAGATCGACCTGCGAAGGTCTTGATAGTACTGCTAACAAAAAGCCATCCTCGGTGATGTCAATAGCCACGGGCTTGCGCTTGACTTGCAATGTCCTCGCCCATAGTCGCGGCAGTTGCACTGTCTTGATCAAGAACAAATTTGACGCCGAGTATACCGCCACATAGCCGCCTTTCCTCGACACGTTGACGTCGAAACTGTCGGGAAGCGCAGACGAAGACGCGGTATTGGATACGAGTTCGAGGAGGGTGAGGCTGGGAGGCGCATATGGCGGTTCGGCGATTGGTGTGCTGTCATTCGATCGCTCGTCATAGGTGGTAGCAGATGTCATGGCCGTCGAGTAGCCTGACGAAGAGATGGCATCGGTGTTCGCAATCGACGACGCGGAGAGCAGCGTATTCACGTGCTCGTATCCCTCAGAGTCCTCAGAACTCAGCGACGTGGTGCGCGCACGCTCGTCATAGGCCGCCCGTCTTGTGTGGGGACTGCCCTCATCGCCGGCGAAGGCGACGCCCTTTCCCCGTCCGTCTGTCGTCGGCGTTCTGGCAGAGAGTTGCGGTCCCGAGTCGTAGTCGTGTGCAGTCCTCCCCACCATCGTAAGCCTGGTCGTGCCTTCCTTGAATTCGTACGTGTCGTGCGTGGTGGTAGCCGGTGCGGAAGGAGCGTCAGGTGGGCATCGGACACAGCTCCATCAGAGTGCCTATCGTCGCATCTATCGTCTTCAGCTGTAGCAAAAGCAGGACGGCAGCATTGCGATTCTCCGTACAGCAGCAGCAAGCAACGTAAAGGTGTCTAG